TCATTACGTCTACCTGACTCAGTCGGCCAGTCCACTTACCATTAGCACATAATAATAACATTAGTATGACAGTATATAAATGCAAATCGTACTCTCTACAAACCACAAACTCACGCACGGCTCCACTGCCTCCACAGTCTAAGTCGTTGTCGCCTTCGAAATTTTTTTTCATTTTTTAGCCATTCTATTATTGCAGATCATGTAAAAACATAGTTCAATGTTTTTCTAGAAGAGCCAGTATTGTCAAGAATGGATGGTTTTGATTTATTGACCTGGTGGAAAGCAAATTTCATAAAATATCCAACTTTATATAAGGTTGCAAGAGATTTATTAGCCATTCCAGTATCTATTGTGGCATCGGAGTCAACATGTAGTACAAATGGTAGATTTGTGAGTCTATATAGAATTAGGTTTCACCCAAAGACTCTATAAGCTTTCATGTGTGTTTGGGATTGGCTTTCGACTGATATTTATGGTAGGATTTATTGTTTTATATTTGTTATTTATACACTTCCTCTTATTATTAATTTTTTTTTTCTATTGTGCACAGAAAATTCTACTCATTCTTTATACTATGGAGCTTGTGCAACGTTTAGCGAGAAGAAAGCTGACGAAAACGTACACTTTTTTTATTTAAATCTTAATTAAGGCAATTCTGGAATAGGTAGTATCGTTGTATTCTCTACTTACATTTCTTATTTACTATATAGGAATCAATTTCTAGTGCTGATCTATGCTAGTAAGACTTGTGGGGAAGAATGAATTAAGTAATTTCGATGCACAACAATTAAGAATGAAGGAAAAGTTTAGTATTGTTATATTTATAATATTGTTTGTTAAATTTGTATTTTGCAATTGAAAATTGGGATAATGTTTGTATTTTCATTTGGAATATTGTTTGCATTTTCATTTGGAATATTATGTTTTTGTTTTCATTGACTTTTTTCATAATTTTTTTTATATTAATTTGACGGATGAACTTATAAAAAATAACTTATTTTCATGGTTCTTAACCTAACCGAACCGATTTACGTGGTTATGATATGGTCAAAAAATTGATGGTGCGATTATGATTTTGGCCGAACCGACCCATAATCGAACCGTTGCCAATCCTATCTGTTTTGGGCCGTTTGTCCATTTCCAGATTCTGATCAACGAGTGGTGCCATTTGTAGGGTCGTGTGGATAAAGAATTTAGGAACCAAGTTTGCAATAAACGGAAATCAATACGCATGAAAATACTCTTTATAGCTATACACAGGGGAACCTGATAATTTGAGGACTTTATGCCAACTCAAATAATGGGCTCTTATATTTTAAGTCTTGTGACAGAGAGTTTTGATATATTTATGAAAAATTTAATACAAATAGTTAAGTCTGAAAAGTTGAAGAGGAAAATAATAAAATGTCAAATTTTTACATGCAATATAAATTATAAGTCAAATTTGGCAAATAGAAATAGAATGCAATGGCAAAGGGGTTAATTCATTTTTTGATCATTTTCTCACTGTAACTATTTTAAATGAAATTGAATATGCATTTGACCGATTTATGTACAAAATTGGAGAGTGTTGATTGCGAAAGATAGCGTAACAAAATAATGAAAATGATGATTAAATACAAAATGAGGTTTTAATTTTTGTATTAATTCATAAGAAATTAACTTACAAATAAGAAGTATGAACACGGATAAAGAATTATTAAATTTACAATACCTTCAACAAACATCTAAAAAAGCCATAATAATGAGATTAAATCAAAATAATAATAGCAATAATCTATAGTTTTGAAGATAAGAGAGAGAGAAATAAACTTGTGGTGCTGTAACAATGGCAGGTAGATTAAACTAATCTACTAAATTGAATGTTCAAAATTTTAGTTCAAAGGGGAGATAATTTATTTTTTGTTGATTGAAAAAAAAATTATGGTGGATGATGGTTGAACGTGGAATTTGAAAAGAAAAAGAGACATTTTGTTTGGTCAAGAAAAAAAAATAAATGTTCGAAGATAAATGGTCAAATTAGTTATAGAGAGAGATAGTAATGTTTGTAATATATTTATGTAATAAATAAATGCAAGTAATAAGTTTTATATCATTTTTATATATTATTTTAAAGATTTTTGTATTTTCATTTTTTATTAGTTTATTGTATTTGTATATGATTATTTTATTTTAAAAAATTTCATAAACATAATTTTTTTCTTTAACCAACCAATTAACCTTACATAATTTGGGACCCTCACTAAAAGGAAGCGTTAGGCGATTGCCTACCCTACCTATAGTCGAGGCCGCCACTGCCAATGATCTTTCCTCTTTGTAGCTTGAGGATGTAAAAAGTCATTCTCGCGTGTCCTGCTTATATATATTATCAGGTTGTTTTACAGAGTCAGGTGGATTTAAGAGGGATTAGGTTGGTCCCCCAACCCAAATCAATTTTTTCAAGGTTCAAAAAAAAAATAAAAAAATTATTTGTAATTTATTTTTATTTTTTTGGGTAATTAACATAAAACATTCATACCTTTCACTATTACTATACAAAATGTCTTTACCCCTTTTTTTTGGGACATTTTCACCCTTAATTACAAAACATCTTTTTCATCCAATTTTCATTTAAGTGAAAGGTATTCTCATCTTAAACTTTTTTCTTCTTTCTTTCCCATTTGAACCCATTTTTTTCCTATGTTTAAATCTTTGAAAAATAAGCATTTGACTTGGGTTTTCTGTTAGTTTGATGCCCTTTTCGAGTAATATTTAGTAAAATGATATTATTAATTGACGTTTGATTATTCTCGTAATCCAATTTGAAACGATTATCTAAGGTTTTATGATCATATAGGATGTCACAAATTGTATATTCGATGGTTTGGGTATAGTGAGACACAATTTTTGATGCGATCAAAATATGTCGTTCATAATCAGTGCATAAAGTTGGACGTTTTATGTTGATAAGATTGCATTATTCTTATTAAGATTTGTCTAGATTTAAAAATAAGAACAATAATGTGTTTTTTGATGCACATTGAATGAGACCGCGTAGATAACTCATTTGTGATCGCTCAGGATGAGACTCTAGTCGATTATCAAACAAGTCATCCTGAGCAAGTAATGTACCTTTGAGGTACCAATGAGTGAACTCTTAATTAGAAGATTGATCTTGATGCTTTGAGAATTAGGCCGAAACAATTAGAGATCATATACTTGCGATAGTGAAATCCATTAATCATTGAGATGAGACGATCATCACTCTAAGGTATTTTGTATAGGCAATTGAACCTGAGCTCAAGAGTTCAATGATATCTCATTGGACTCTATATTGTGATTTGATTACAACGAATTCGCCTTATAAAAATGGAACTTAGAGGGTAATACATGTTGAAGGGCAAAACGATCATTTTGTAGTTTTCAACATATTGACAATCAAATAGAGGTTGACTTATAGAACGATAATCGGAGAATATTGTTATCAGATCATAATTTACTTCTATAATTGTCACTCGATTCGAGATTACAATCTCGAATTTTTTATAGATGTATCTCAATTGGTCAAAAGTTAACCCATTTAGAAATATCTATTGGAGCTTGAGTCTTGTAAGTCCAGTTAAATCCCTCTCTTGACTCCAATAAATGTGTGTGACTAATTGATCTACTACAATAAAGTCCAAATAAATTTGGGTTATTATAAAACTCTAATTGAGTATTATAAATATGCCCTCTATGTGTACATTTTAAAATGGTTTTTTAGGGTTAGTCGCATTTTTATTTCCCAAAGAGGAAGGCACCTAAGGAGCACAATAGGGAAGATTTTAAGGGGGAAGCACTTTGTAGCTTCTGTTATAGCAATAAAATTCCATTTCTTTTCATCACCATGGAATTGCTGTGATTGAACTTCAAGCAGTGTTTTCAAGTCTTTAAGCCGAGTTATGAACGATGACAATTGGAAGGTAGAATGCTGGGGTACGTGATGTCGTCTTGAATATCGATAAGAATGGTATAATTTTTCATTTATATCCTTCACTTGAATGAAAAATTGGGGAAGAAAGGCAGAAAAAAATTAAAAATGTTTTAACAAAAATACCCTCCACTTAAATTACAAATTAGATGAATGTGATGTTTTGCGTAGTCAAATGTGTAATTAAGGGTGAAGACGTCAAAAAATGAAATGTAAGGATATTTTGTACAATAATAGTGAAAGGTAGATGTTTCATGCTAATTACCCTTTTTTTTTTTAATTCACATATCAGCAGTTTAAAAGAATTTTTAGTCTGATTCTGGATCTGCCCTTGCACAATACTAGATTTTAATAAATAAATAAATAATAGTAAATTTTGATGCACTAATTTGAGGGCCTTCAAAAAACTCGAAATACCCTAATTTGAATGTCCTCGAACCCATTGAGCTAAACCAGATTTCGATACAGGAATAATAGTCACCAACTTTTGCTACAAAGAGTGGGTTCCTCTCTTCAAATTTAAATTCGTTACTCGTACATCCACTTGGATTTCCATTGTCAGCTCGTTCCAACTCTTTGCTAGTTCGTCCATCATCTTTCCTAAAGTTGATGTATGATATGTATAGTTGAAAAAATGATAAAAGTTTTGATATCTCATAAATCGTGTGGTTAAAACTGAAGTTTAGCCAATTAAATAGTTGATAAAATTTGAGTAAATAATATACTAAGAAAACTGAATAATGATAAACATCCTTTTAGACTCGAGGTTTGAAATAGTGATGGAGATAGAAATATATATTGAAGAAGTATGTTCTTAGTGGTGGCGAAGTATTTAAGGACAAATTGACATCAACTGATCTTGAAACTTAAAATCAATGTATCTCTAAATATTAATAAATTTCGTTCACACGAAGAATCTTGAGCAACCGAATTACATGAAAATTTGTTTTAGTTCAGATATCATCATAATTGTAACGAATGCACTCAATCTTTTAATTTTTTACAGTTATATTATCGACAACATTTAAAGTTTGCGTGCTTAGTCCATCCGAGTTAACCATTTCCATCAATTATGCAAATTCATAGTTCTAGAAGACTGTTGAGACATGCTACTCTATGCTATTGAAAAAATTAACATAAAATTTGGATTTACTAGCAAAGACGAAATTATACTGTCTCGATCCATACATAAGCATAAACGTCAAGAATACTTTTGGACAATCGGTCGACCAAATCGAAAGTAACTATTTCCATCTGCATTCCAGATTATCATCGATAATCGTTGAGGAAGTACTAATCAGGTAGATTTTGCTGGAGCACTTCAAGGATTCAGCAGTTTTGGAGACTCAATCAACACAAAATCAGAAAAACTATCGTTCATCCAGTCCGTAAATGGTAGTTTTGGCGATTTAGGAGATCCCCAAGAAAGTGAAGAATGGCCAGGAACATTGGTTTTCCGGCAACTAGAAACTTGATCTTCAAATAGCATCTGCGGTATCTCCTCCATTTCCAAGTTCTTCACAGGACTCTCAAGCTGAAATATTGACCATTAGTTCACATTTGTTTAGGTGCTGCATCCGATGTTCAACTTCAGAAATAATAGGTACAAAAACGAGAAAATAAAGTTGCCTAAAAAACGAGGTGTTGTACGAACAAGAAGAAGAAAGAAAACAATTGAAACCTACCTTTGGCTTAGACAACGATACAGATGCCCTTGGAGATGATGGCCACATAGTAATATCTGAATTCAGAAAATGTAACCAATTATATAGAGAGATATTTATAGCAAAAAGAGTAAAGTTGCTAATGTGGGGTGTCGTAGCCTCGTTTATTACCATTATCTAGTCCGACAACTGACTTCAGAAAATAATCCACATCCACGGCCTTTCTCTGGATTTTGATGCACTCGTGATGATTGTGCAGGAATCCCTCCTCCTCAATGCAAACGGGAACATTTTCTTCAACAACAGGATTCAACTTTTGACCCTTCTTCGGAACCACCTGCAAGGATGGCTTCACAGAGTTCGTAAGGTCACTAAGTGCTTTCCTAGCACCAGCTTTCCCCCCAACGACAGACTTGGTTTTCGAAATGCTGAGATCTTTCTTCGTTTGAAGCATTGTAGAATTTCTCGAGTTTGATATGTCATTAAGAGCTTTTCTTGCACCAACCCCTCCTTTCTTATCTGCTTTGACAAGAGTAGCACCTATAAAAGACAGCAATATGTTAGCTGACGCCTAACCAAGAAACAACAAAAGACGATTTTACTCCCAAAGATTACAATTAGCAATTACCATTAGAGGGGATATTGAGATTCTGATTCTGAATCAGGTGACTAGCTGGTGTTGCCATGAGTGCTTGTTCAATTAAAATCAGTAGAATTATCTGCAATCCACACAGTTCTGAAAATCAGTAACATAACTTGTAAAACCGAAACTGAAAATCTATACATGGTTTATTCAAGATATACCATCTAAAATCATTAAAACACAACACTCGCACAAGTTGAAAATTCTCTTAAATAATCACACATCTAAATATTTCAGTTGCCAACACAGGCAAAAAAAATTCTTCACGAAACCTGGTCCCGGATTACCTTGTTTCTTGGTCATACTATCTAAAATCAATAAACCACAATGGTATCACTTAATACAACACAAAGAATTCACATAACTAAAAATTCTGGCTACCAACGTGCGGCGAACTTTTCTTCAGCTTCATATTCCATCACTTCAGAACATACTGTACGTAGTAAAATGCAATATGTAAGGCTAGATCTCAGCCCAACTAAATCCTCAAAATTACTTTCAAAATAACTCTACCTACCGGTATAACATTTTCATTTTCTTTGCCAAATCTTGCTACATGTACGTGTACACTTTATTTTACACTTTGCCAAGTGCCAAGTGCCAAGTGCCAAGTGCCAAGTGCCAGTAACTTGTTAAGACAGTTTAAATTTCAAACAGTTTTCAATCAACTGACAATTAACAACAATACAAGTGTCAAAAAACTTGTCAAAAATTAGTGTACAATTACAAATAGTAAAGTTCATTAACTTAATCGTGTTATAACTTTATCACTCCTGAAAATTTTCCCTTCCATTGCCTTTCTTGAACAGTGAATACTCATTTCATACAACATAATAAAAGAAAGTCAGGCTAAAAATCAATCGATTCTTAACCTCGAAATTCAAAAACCCATTGAATCTACGAAAAGAAAATAAAGAATCAACCGCTCTTCGCGAATGCCAAAATTGTAAGAAAACATTAAAATTTTATCAAAAATTTTAAAAAGGCAAAAATATAATGAAACCAGATATCAAATTAGGGATTTATTGAAACGAACACCAATATAAACCCTGGTGAATATAAATAATTTTGAACGTGCTTATCTACTTTTCAACAGAAAATCTTCACTATTTCAAGAAACCAGGGTCTAAGAGGAAAACTTACGGAATTATCTTCGATATGTGTGAACTTTCTTTGCCTTTCTACAGAATTTCTGTATATCTTTCTCTATATTTGCTTGAAAACCTCTTGAATATTGCTTGGAAATTTCCTCTTTTCTGGTGGCGATTTCTTGAAAATTTTCAACGGGCAAATTGTGTCGAGAGGGCTCTTCTTATAGAGAAGTGACGAACCAACGGTCATATTTTGCCCTCTCAGAAGAGGGCTCCGTTCTTAGCGAATTTACAAGAATGACATTCGGTTTTTAATTAATTATTATTATTATTATTTTTGCTCCTTTTGCTGTATTTTTGGTGTAATGGACTAATTTTATGGGTAATTAACACAAAAAGTTTACCTTTCAATGTTATTGTGCAAAACGTCATTATCTTTTATTTTTTGACATTTTCACCCCGTCTTTCACCTTTCATTGCGCAAAAGATCATTTTCATCCATTTTTTCAATAAATGATGATTTTACACTCCTATTCAAATAAAATAAAAAAATAAAAAAATATTGTGACAATGTTGTGGAGGAGGATGTTGGGTAGAGTGAGGTAAGGTTGGTGGTGGTGGTGGAGTTCGACGGGTATTGTGGCAGAAAGATGGTGCTATGTGGATCTATAGGTGGCAGCTTGGAGGGATTGTGAAAGTGGTGGTAGTGGGGAATTTGGGACTTATTTGTAATGTTTTGAAAAATTTAAAACTATGATTGTAATTAGTTATTTATTTTTCTCTTCTTTTTGTTTTATTGAATAGGAGAGTAAAATCATCATTTTATCGAAAAAATTGATGAAAATTACCTTTTGCTCAATGAAAGGTAAAATATAGTGGTGTAAATGTCAAAAAATTAAATGTATGGACGTTTTGTACAATAACGTTGAAGGATAAGGACCTTTTGTAATAATTACCCTATTTTTTATATACGTTTCAATATATATATAGGGAAGCATTCCTCATACACATGGATTTAACAAGTATTTTTAACAAATAATCGTGACCTTTAGATGAAGCAAATTTAACGGTTAGTATCTTATGTATCTCAAGTGGTTATAACTAATTCTCCCATGATCCTAATGAAATACATACTGATTGTTGGATTTGCTATATATATATATATATATATATATATATATATATATATATTATGTTGAATAAACTAAAACGTGATGATATGATTACAATAATATTTTTTTGTACACAATATTATTTTTTTTAGTGATCAAATGTCCCAATTAATATATTAATGCAACCTTTCAATTTTTTACCTCAATTAAATAATGACCTAATTGATGGATTATAATGTAAATCATTAAAATTAATAAGGACTTTGTTGACGAAAATTAAAAGTTGCTTTGTTAATGAAAAATAAAAACTCAATGGATGAATTGTAATGTAAATCGTGAAAATTAATAAGGATTTTGTTGATGAAAATTAAAAAATTGCTTTGTTGATTGAAAATAAAAATTGTAAGAACAAAATACTAAATTGAATGATAAGTTACTAAATTTCTGTTGATTTTTTTTTCAATAATTGAATGTCAGTTTCACTCATTTTTGGTGTAATGGACTAATTTTATGGGTAATTAACACAAAAAATTTACCTTTCAATGTTATTGTGCAAAACGTCATTATCTTTCATTTTTTAACATTTTCACCCCCGTCTTTCACCTTTCATTGCGCAAAAGATCATTTTCATCCATTTTTTCAATAAATGATGATTTTACACTCCTATTCAAATAAAATAAAAAAATAAAAAATAAAATTGTGACAATATTGTGGAGGAGGATGTTGGGTAGAGTGAGGTAAGGTTGGTGGTGGTGGAGTTTTACAAGAATGACATTCGGTTTTTAATTAATTATTATTATTTTTTTTTCTCCTTTTGCTGTATTTTTGGTGTAATGGACTAATTTTATGGGTAATTAACACAAAAAGTTTACCTTTCAATGTTATTGTGCAAAACGTCATTATCTTTCATTTTTTGACATTTTCACCCCCCGTCTTTCACCTTTCATTGCGCAAAAGATCATTTTCATCCATTTTTTCAATAAATGATGATTTTACACTCCTATTCAAATAAAATAAAAAAATAAAATAAAATTGTGACAATGTTGTGGAGGAGGATGTTGGGTAGAGTGAGGCAAGGTTGGTGGTGGTGGAGTTTGACGGGTATTGTGGCCGAAAGATGGTGCTATGTGGATCTATAGGTGGCGGCTTGGTGGGATTGTGAAAGTGGTGGTAGTGGGGAATTTGGGACTTATTTGTAATGTTTTGAAAAATTTAGAACTATGATTGTAATTAGTTATTTATTTTTCTCTTCTTTTTGTTTTATTTGAATAGGAGAGTAAAATCATCATTTTATCGAAAAAATTGATGAAAATTACCTTTTGCTCAATGAAAGGTAAAATATAGTGGTGTAAATGTCAAAAAAATTAAATGTATGGACGTTTTGTACAATAACGTTGAAGGATAAGGACCTTTTGTAATAATTACCCTATTTTTTATATACGTTTCAATATAACTAGTAGTAAGTACGTGCATTGCACGTCTTATGTATCAATGAATAATTTGCATAATATTTTTGAATTACTAAT